CAATGACATATTTATACAGTGACACCTATCGATACAGCGACACCTATTGATACAGTCACACCTATTGATACAGCGACACCTATTGATACAGCGACACATATTTATACAGTCATACCTATTTATACAGTCACACCTATTTATACAGTCACACCTACTGATACAGTCACACCTACTGATACAGTCACACCTATTTATACAGTCACACCTATTTATACAGTCACACCTACTGATACAGTCACACCTACTGATACAGTCACACCTATTTATACAGTCACACCTACTGATACAGTCACACCTATTGATACAGTCACACCTACTGATACAGTCACACCTACTGAGTTAACCACCTTTGATATTTAAATTGACGAAAAGATTATGATTTTATGAAAGTTTGACGATTCCAAAACCACGTCATCAACAGTAAACTACCACCCCCTCGTCATTAACCGTTTCTAAATTATCCTTACCTCATCAAGGGCAGATGATTTATCTACTGTTCTCACTTCATTAACATCGCACTATATTTCTTTCCCCGCATCATGATGAGATAATTTTTCTTCTCTGCCCACATAAGCATCAGACGATTTCTCATCTCTCCCGACATCAACATGTGACCATTTCTCTTCTATCTTCACATCAACAACACGATTATAATGTTGTTCTCTCTTCATCAATTTTTGTTATTAACACTACTATCCCTACTACATCAACGTTTGGTGATTCCAAACATAATCCTTTATCGATATTAGACTTCATCAGCCTCTGACACTTCAATAGCTTGATACACTTTTTTTCAAACAATGACGATTCAACAGCTGGATATGATTTTACAAACAATGAAGAGTCAATGGCTTCATACACTTTTTCAAACACTGATGATTCAATTCAACATCTAATGATTACATATATATACCTAATTCTACATCACCTGGTGATTATACCACCACAACCAATTCTGTAAAGTTAGTCGATCTACCGTCTACCTACAAATCTATCATTTCTAACGATTCGACAGCACCACACATTTCTACTTTTGACTTTCCCACATAAAAGTACAACTCCAAAGTATTCACATCTTCTGAAGGTTCAATAGCTTCATGGCTGAACACAACATTTTCTCCTTTTATGAATATAACTAATGAAACATCATCTCCTTTCACATCCACTCCTTCTATAACTTCGCCTATCCAAACCATTTTCCTCCTACCGCAACTATGTCTACGAATGTCACTGGTCCTTCCATGCCTACGCCATTCCAAGACTACGTCAGCCACAGCCGCTATCCCATTCACAGCTAAGCCCAGCACAAGCACCACTCCCTTTATAGCTACGCCTTCCACAACCGGTACTCCATCAATATCTACGCCTACCACATTTTATCCCATCCCATCAACTTCTACCTGATTATGTCTACCACTGTCACAACTTCCTCCATATTTACGCCTACCACAACCACTTCACCTTCCACACATACGCCTAACATAGCCACTGATGCCTCCATAACTACGCCTTCCTTAACCGGTATTCCTTCAAAACTGCGTTAATTACAGACACCTCTGTCGTCACATCTCAGCATATCACAACCGATACTCTCTTCAAAACTAGGTCAACCACAAACGCTTCTGCTTCCACGACTACGCCTACCATAACCTCCACCATTCAAAACCACTACTTCCTTAATACTATACCTAACACTACTTCGAAACACGTTTCTGCAACTCTACGCAATTCAACTGCAAACAGTCCAGCATCCAAGTCTAAAAATACAACTAGACATACATCAAAGGCCAGGCCTATAATATCATCACCAACACGTAAGCTCACTGCTACAACCTTCCCCTCTACCAACGTTGAGTCTTTGGAAATAACACTGCCAACATCCTTATAATGTCCCTTCTGCATGTACAGTTATGTCTTTAAAACTACTTCATATTGTGAAACATGCGAAAGTCGGTCAAGTTAAAATTGCTGTTCCAAAACCTTTTGAACTAGAAAATAAATCCATTCAGCTTGAACATATTTTGAATTACTGATTGACAAAGTCACTTAATACTAAAGATAAATCACCTGCAGTAAAAAGTGAAATTAAAAACATCATCTAATCCAAACAGACTAAACATAGAATCACACATTCAACCAATGTACGAAGTGATCAACCATGATTTCTTATATACAGAAAAAAGTACAGTCGGCAACATGGTAACAAACGAACATGTACCAAACACAACCTACGGAACGAAGGCAAGCAAGATTTCATTAAACAAAGACCAGGGAAATTACCAAATTCCAAGTATAGTCGGCAAAATCAGTTCGAAGAAAAACGTAGCAGGTATAGTCGGCAAAGTCAGGACAACCGACAATGTACCAAGGACAGTCGACGACAGAGACTGGAAAAACAACATCGGTCCAGGCATGGTCAACGAAGTCAAGAAAAACAACAATGTATCAAGTACAGCCGATAGAATTAAGACAAACAACAATGTACCAATTATGGACGGCAAAAGGAACAATGTACCAAGTAGGGCCAGGATAATCAACGACGTATCAAGTAGAGCCCACAACATTACGACTCAACGAGGTAGGGTCGACAGTGTCAGGACAAACATTAACGTATCAGAAACAGTTAACAAAACAAAGACAAACAACAACATATCGGGCACGGTCGACAAAGTAAAGACAAACATCCACGTGCCAGTTACACTCAAGAAAATGAATACAGACAACCAAGAGCGAAGTACAGTCAGCAAAGTGAAGAAAACTTTCAATACACTAAGTGCATTGAGCAAAGTTGAGGCAAAGAACCAGGCAACAATTACAGTCGCCAAAGTGAAGACAAATGACAACTTATTAAGTGCAGGTGGCAAATTGGTTGACAACCATGTAACAAGTACGCTTAACAAAGTAAGGGTAAACAATGATGAACCAAGTGCATTCGGCATTGTGGAAGCAAGCAAGCAGGTACCAAGTGCAGTCACCAATTTGAAGACAGACATCCCCGTTCCAACAGGAGTCGACAAAGTGGGTACAAACACTCATAAGGCAAGTACAGTCGACAAAGTGAGGACTAAGTATAATATGCCAAGTGCATTTGGAAAAGTCGAGGAAAGTAAAGTTGACAAATTAAGGACAACCAATCAAGTACCAAGTACAGAAAGTAACATGAAGACAGACAATTACATTCCAGCCACAATCGACAGAGTAACTGCAAATGATCAAGTTCCCAATACCGTCGGTAAAGATTTGTCAAATGATATTGTATTACGAAGAGTCGCCAAAGTGAGAGTAGACAACGACGCACCAAGCACGGTCAACAATATGTTGACAGACATCATAAAAGTGGTCAGCAAAGTGAGAGCAAACAGTTTTGAACCCATCGTATTCCACAGTCAGATGCTGGGCCCACCCGTAGTAGAGGGAATAAACCAAAGTCCAAAAACAAACATGTGGCCGAAAAAGTATCTTTACGACTCCAATGACAAAGTGAGGTCAGGCAATCGTGTACGAACCTTAGTCAACCAAACTACTCCCTACCAAGTGAAATCAAGGGATGATAACGCAAGCGCAGTCGACAATGTGAAGACAACTCAAAATTCATTTGACAAAGTTACTGCTGGCAACCAACCAAAAAGCTCAATTACACTTAAGAACGCACTAAGTGATGTTCACCAAAGGATGGCTAACAACCAAGAACCAAATAGAACCTACAAAGTGACGGCTAACAATAACATATCTAGCAAAGCCAATAATACGGGTACGATTATTCACTTACCAAGCTCAGTCGACATATTTAGCACTGTCGATTACGGAGAGGCATATCGTCGAGATCAAAGCCAAACTGGGAAAACGAATCACCAAGAAATACGTGATAGTGACAGAGCAAAGACAAACAAGCAACAGGCAGGTAAACTCGGAAAAGTTAATGTCATTCATCATCAAAAGAGTATAGACATCAAAGCGGGCACAAACTCCAAAGTGCATATGATATCAGACAAATTGACAAATAATTACCTCGTACCAAGAAAATCATCGGCATTTCGTTCATATGTCGAAGCAGGAAATATTGTCAAAGGCGCGTCAACCATTTACCAGGAACGAAGCGCAGTTGACAAAGCGAGAGAAAATCGCTACGAATCTGGCATTGTCGCGAGAATGAACGCAGCTCAACAGGATCCAATGAAAATCGACGAAGGGAGTGCATATCGTCACGTAACAAGGAAGGTCGACGTAGGGAATACACCTCATCATGTTCTAAAAACAAACAACAAAGCGAAAGGAAGCAGCCAACAGTCACGAATTCTTAATAACGTAAGAGCACACCAGCACGCACCAAGCACTGCCATTAGGGAGCCAAGCCATCTTGTGATCATTGTATCACCAGAAGAAACAGGCCGTTCAGACAATACCAACAAAATGAGGAATAATTACCACGTACCAAGTCACTTAAACAACGTCAGAACAAATCTCCGCTTTGAAAGCATCTTTGACAAACTGAACGCACATTACAACAACTCGACCACAGCTGCCAGATTTGGAGCCCGCAAGAACTTACCAAGCGTAATAATTAATAACCAGGATACCAACACTGACACAGACAAAACAATGGCAAATCACCACACACAGAATAATGGCGACAACTCAAGAGAAGTTCACTTAACTCTAATCATCGACGGCAATACAGGATCAAATTATCAGGCGTCAGGAAAAATAGCTATGACTAATCAGTCTGGCGACAAACTTAGAACAATATATCAGACCCAAAGCGCAGGCAAACAAGAGATGACAAACATTCAAACACCTATCGCGGGTGGCAAACGAAGAACAAAATACCAGGCTACAAGCACAAGTAAATCAGCAATGACAAATCACCAAGCAGGAAATACAGGCGGCAAACCAAGAACGAAATACCAGGCGAGAAGCAGAAGCAAAACAGCAATGACAAATCACCAAGCAGGAAATACCAGGCGGAGAACAAAATAAGCAGAAGAACAAGCAAAACAGCAATGTCAGCTCACAAAGCACGACATACTGATGGCAAACCAAGAACGAAATACCAGGCGACAGGCAGAAGCAAATCAGCAATGACAAATCACCAAGCGAAAAATACAGGCGGCAAACCAAGAACGAAATACCAGGCGAGAAGCAGAAGCAAAACAGCAATGACAAATCACCAAGCAGGAAATACAGGCGGCAAACCAAGAACAAAATACCAGGCGAGAAGAACAAGCAACACAGCAATGTCAACTCACAAAGCACGACATACTGATGGCAAACCAAGAACGAAATACCAGGCGACAGGCACAAAGGAATCAGCAATGACAAGTCACCAAGCGAAAAATACCGGCGGCAATCGAAGAACAAAATACCAAGCGACAAGCACAAGCAAATCAACAATGCCAAAATACCAAGCAAGAAATACAGGCGGAAAACCAAGAACAAAATACCAGGCGACAAGCAGAAGCAAAACAGCAAGGACAAAATACCAAGCAGGAAATACAGGCGGCAAACCAAGGACAAAATACCAGGCGAGAAGCAGAAGCAAAACAGCAATGTCAGCTCACAAAGCACGACATACTGATGGCAAACCAAGAACGAAATACCAGGCGAGAAGCAGAAGCAAAACAGCAATGACAAAAGACCAAGCAGGAAATACAGGCGGCAAACCAAGGACAAAATACCAGGCGACAAGCACAAGCAACACAGCAATGTCAGCTCACAAAGCACGACATACTGATGGCAAACCAAGAACGAAATACCAGGCGACAGGCACAAAGGAATCAGCAATGACAAATCACCAAGCGAGAAATACAGGCGGCAAACCAAGAACAAAATACCAGGCGAGAAGCACAAGCAAATCAGCAATGACAAGTCCCCAAGCGAGAAATACAGTCGGCAATCGAAGAACAAAATATCAGGCGCTAAGTACAATCAAGAAATCAACGAACCAAGCATTGACCAATCACCAAGCAAAAAACGTTGGCGGGAAACAAAGAACAAAATACCAGACGACAAGTACCCACAACAAATTCAGATCAAACCCACACCGGAAAAGCTTTTTCCTATCATTCCTATATCCAGAGGAAAAAGTAAATTCGGAAAATACGGCAAGATCAGACACTCGACTCTTAAACACTATTTCAAAGCTCCTCGGTCCCCGTTTAACCAAAAAAAGGAACAGTGATTCATTGCATAAAAAACACAAACATAGACGTCTTTCTAGCAATAGTAAGAAATTCTTAAACCAATACGATTACCCATCCAATCGACATTACTCAGGCAATGGTCAACAAACATCTGTAGACCAGACAAATTTGTCTTCCGCTAGAGTCAGTTCTCCGTTAGTGAAAGAGACAACAGTTGTCAAGAATAGAAGTACTTCTATATCTGACATACAAAACATAACTCGAACCTTACCTTTGAAACGTCGAAATCAAAAAGCAATCGACACACCATTAAATGGGAAATATCCTATATTGGAACGACATCAACTCTCTCGGAAAGGTAAGAGATAAACTGAAGTACAAATCTAATAATCCTCTACTCAGAGCCAGGATACTGGTTTTAACCATATCAAAAATAGCATATGTTTTTCCTATTCAAATATATAATATCAGCTAAAGCAGGACATTCTAGAGGATAAATAGACTTTAATATGACTCAATTTTCACGACTTGGCAGTCACTCGTCTCAGCTCTGTGCTGAGTAGACTTTAATATGACTCAATTTTCACGACTTGGCAGTCACTCGTCTCAGCTCTGTGCTGAGTAGACTTTAATATGACTCAATTTTCACGACTTGGCAGTCACTCTGTGCTGAGGCGTGTTTATTAACTTATGAATTATCTATACGATAGAGAATTTTCCTCTCATTATAGATATTCTAAATTCAACAGTAACACTTTCGAAATCCCTGTCAAATACGTGACTCTGCCATGAACCATTATATCATCTTATTATATAATATGTATATAGCTTATATGAGACTCACGTGTATATCCAATGAATCCGGTGTGATTTTACATGAAATCCCTTTCGTTCAGAAAATCTCTCATGTTTCTTGTTATTAAATCAGATGCAAGTTAGAATGAATGCAAATAAAACATTATAACCACAACTTATTTATATATCTTACGACAAAACGTATTTCTTTTCATTCTATTTCAGGAGAAAAATCAAAGACAGTGGCTTCTAGTTTACGTCAACACGATGATGATGAAAATGATGAAAATGAGGACGATGATGAAGAAGACAGCGACGAAGCTTCTTCAAACAGAAATGAACATGAATCATAATGAGAAAAAATGACATCCACTAGAACTCGTTACCTGTATATGTAGATGTATCTCATTTCGCTGTCCTGTTCCTGTCTCATAAACATACCTTATTTCGCTGTACTGTATCCATTTCATAAGAATGTCTCCATACTTATCCTATGCCTGTGATTAAATAAATCCAAAACAAAGTTCCACGTACATGTGTGAGGTTTACCTCTTACTTAATAATAGATGGAAACATACCTGACTGAAATAGAATCATTACTATTCGTCCTCAGCCTACATAATTTTATTCATTCATTTGTTTTTAGTTGTTTTAATGAGTGTAACACACAGTATATCCCAGCGATTCACAGCAGTGTGTCAGTGCTATATCGACGAAAAGTAAGTAACGAGCAACGTTAAACTTACAAACCTGTAAACAACTCAGATAATTTACAATAATTACTGTCGGACAACACAACAGTTCAAAGACACAAACAACTAATGTTATCAACGACAAAAGGCATTGAAACAGCTGGATTACAACAAGCAACCTACCAACCCAACTGTTCAAAGACACAAACAATTCAACTGAGGTTTTCATCGACAGCACGCAACCAAACAACTCTGCGGTTCAACAAACAACTAAATATATCAACTAAGTTAATACCGGGATAGACGACAAATCAACGACGTTCATAACGGGATAAACGACAAATCAACGAAGTTAATACCGGGATAGACGACAAATCAACGAAGTTAATACCGAGATAGACGACAACTCAACGAAGTTAATGCCGAGATAGACGACAAATCAACGAAGTTATGTTGATTTGTCGTCAATTCCGGTATTTTTTTCATTGATTTGTCGTCTATCCCGATATTAACTTCGTTCCTGTGTCGTCTATCCCGGTATTAACTTCGTTGATTTGTCGTCTATCTCGGCATTAACCTCGTTGCTATGTCGTCTATCTCGGTAATAACTTCGTTGATTTGTCTTCCATCCCGGTATGAACGTCGTTGCTATGTCGTCTTTCTCGGTATTGACGTCGTTGCTGTGTCGTCTTTCTCGGTATTAACTTCGTTGATTTGTCGTCTATCCCGGTATTAACTTCGTTGCTGTATCGTCTATCCCGGTATCAACTTTGTTGCTATGTCGTCTATCCCGGTATTAACTTCGTTACTGTGTCGTCTATCCCGGTATTAACTTTGTTGTTGAATCGTCTATCCCGCTATTAACTTTGTTGCTGTGTTGTCTATCCCGGTATTAACGTCGTTGATTTGTCGTCTATCCCGGTATTAACGTCGTTGCTGTATCGTCCATCCCGGTATTAACGTTGTTGCTGTGTCGTCTATCCCGGTATTAACGTCGTTGCTGTGTCGTCTATCCCGGTATTAACGTCGTTGATTTGTCGTGTATCCCGGTACTAATGTCGTTGATTTGTCGTCTATCCCGGTATTAACTTCGTTGATTTGTCGTTTATCCCGGTATGAACGTCGTTGATTTGTCGTCTATCCGGGTATGAACGTCGTTGCTGTGTCATCTATCTCGGTATGAACATCGTTGCTGTGTCGTCTATCTCGGTATTAATGTCGTTGTTGTGTTGTCTATCCCGGTATTAACTGCGTTGATTTGTCGTCTATCCCAGTATTAACTTCGTTGATTTGTCGTCTATCCTGGTATGAACGTCGTTGCTGTATCCTCTATCCCAGTATGAACGTCGTTGCTGTGTCGTCTATCTCGGTATTAACGTCGTTGCTGTGTCGTCTATCCCGGTATTAACGTCGTTAATTTGTCGTCTATTCCCGTATTAACTTCGTTGATTTGTCGTCTATCCCGGTATTAACGTCGTTGCTGTGTCGTCTATCCCGGTATTAACGTCGCTGATTTGTCGTATATCCCGGTATTAACGTCGTTGATTTGTCGTCTATCTGGGTATTAACGTCGTTGCTGTGTCGCCTATCCCGGTATGAACGTCGTTGATTTGTCGTCTATCCCGGTACACAACGAAGTTAATACCGAGACAGACGACACAGCAAGGCAATGCATTGTTTGCACATACCATGCAACAACGGAAGGTATTATTAACAAAGACAACACAACAAAGCTAGTAAAGTCAACAACGGCACAGACGAAAAAGCCCAGATAACCAAAGCCAATGTTGAAACCGATGACACTACGTTTCATACGACACCACAATGAACGGCAAAGAAATTAAAGATTAAACGGAACACATTTGGTGCAGCCGACATAACGAAATTTATTTTAATTTCATTCATAACAATTGGTTTTTTACACAAATGCATTGAGCATTAGTCATGAACTCATGAACGCTCCGGTTAAAAACCAAAGAAATCCATTATTCACATAGAGTTCACACAATAACGAAGTCATGAACGGAACAGGCAACCGAACAACGAAAGTAATTATTAGATTAGATGATAAAACACACAGCAGGTAAAAAGTACAAACAACCTATGAGCGTTAAGACATCATCATGAAACATGAATTCATAATCCAGATATGACAGTCAGAAAATATTTCTTAAAGATGACAGTCTGAAAACAGTATTTTTTAAATACATGACAGTCTAAAACTTCCTCAATCATCACAGTTTTAAAACATAATTCACACAATATTCTGAAAATATTCCTGAACAGGACAATCCGAAAACATGCCTTAAACATGACAGTCTGAAATCATGCCTTAAAAAGAATCTAAAAACGTTCCTTAAACATGAAAGTCGGACACTTACATAGAGACAGTGATACTTACATACAGACAGTGATACTTACATACAACAGTGATGCTTACATACAGACAGTGATACTTACATACTGACAGTGATACTTACATACAACAGTGATACTTACATACTGACAGTGATACAAACATACTGACAGTGATACAAACATACAGACAGTGATACAAACATACAGACAGTGATACTTACATACAGACAGTGATACTTACATACTGACAGTGATACTTACATACTGACAGTGATACTTACATACAACAGTGATACTTACATACAGACACTGATACTTACATACAACAGTGATACTTACATACTGACAGTGATACTTACATACAGACACTGATACTTACATACAGACACCGATACTTACATACAGTCAGTGATACTTACATACAACAGTGATACTTACATACTGACAGTGATACTTACATACAACAGTGATACTTACATACAACAGTGATACTTACATACAGACACTGATACTTACATACAGACAGTGATAGTTACATATAAATGTGATACCTGCATACAAACACTGATACTTACATACAGACAGTGATACTTACATACTGACAGTGATACTTACATACAACAGTGATACTTACATACTCACAGTGATACTTACATACAGACACTGATACTTACATACAGACACCGATACTTACATACAGTCAGTGATACTTACATACAACAGTGATACTTACATACTGACAGTGATACTTACATACAACAGTGATACTTACATACTGACAGTGATACTTACATACAGACACTGATACTTACATACAACAGTGATACTTACATACAGACAGTGATACTTACATACAGTCACTGATACTAACATACAGACAGTGATACTTACATACAGACACTGATACTTACATACTGACAGTGATACTTACATACAACAGTGATACTTACATACTGACAGTGATACTTACATACAACAGTGATACTTACATACTGACAATGATACTTACATACAGACACTGATACTTACATACAACAGTGAACTTACATACAGACAGTGATACTTACATACAGTCACTGATACTTACATACAGACACCCATACTTACATACAGTCACTGATACTAACATATAGACAGTGATACTTACATACAGACACTGATACTTACATACTGACAGTGATACTTACATACAACAGTGATACTTACATACTGACAGTGATACATACATACAACAGTGATACTTACATACAGACAGTGATACTTACATACTGTCACTGATACTTACATACAGACAGTGATACTTACATACAGACACTGATACTTACATACTGACAGTGATACTTACATACAACAGTGATACTTACATACAGACATTGATACTAACATACAGAAAGTGATACTTACATACAGACACTGATACTTACATACAACAGTGATACTTACATACAACAGTGATACTAACATACAGACATTGATACTAACATACAGACACTGATACTTACATACAGACAGTGATACTTACATACAGTCACTGATACTTACATACAGACAGTGATACTTACATACAGACAGTGATACTTACATACAACAGTGATACTTACATACAGTCAGCAGACACCGATACGTACTGACAATGATGCTTATATTTAGGACTTCCATTTTTGAAAAAAATCGCTGGAAAAATAAGAATGTACGTAAAGTGACAAGAAAAATTATTCATTAAAGGGAGAATGATATTTTCTTTTGACTACTTTGTACCCCGCCGGTTAATTGATTGTTAGGTGTTTGCCTGTCTAAATATCTTGACAGTCTATACCGAATCGGTACCATTCGTATCACATTTCAAATGAAACAAATATAAACCCTGACGAGTGATTAAAACGTCAAGAAATGTTTGTTTTTTAGCAGTTTTTGTGTTAATTATAAACAGTCAATACTGACACACTTCAATTTGTTTGTCGATTTAATTGATGGCTGGGAAAAGGGATGGACGAATAACGGAATGAATGCACGCCAGATTAGGATTTTAAAAGAGCAAGACAATCATTTGTTTATCATAATCCAATGTTTGTGAAACTTATTTGATAAAATGAAATATTCGTGAGCGTTTTCCTTCGTGTTTCAATGTTTTGACTTCAGGGCACAGTATTTCTTTGGTACTTCAACATTTAGTAGACTTCTCTAATATGGAGTCTTATTCGTTGCACTTCAAATTCACAGCCTGTCTATAGTCACGAAAACAGCAAACATTTGTACAAATATCCTTGTTATAAAGTAAAGTTATTTTTAAGTTTTACCGAAAT